CGTCACTATAGCTTAGCATTCAGTCTTAGTTGATACTGTCGCTGAAGTAAGGGCAGCGGTAGCTGAGCTAATTGAGTGTCGGCCGAACCGCCTACAGTTCGCTCTCCCACAATCTCCCTAATTAAATACGCCGACCGTAACATGCAGTCCTTAGGACTGCTAATGTTTTCACATACTCAACGGCATGAACGAATACTTGAAGCAGTAAAGCGAAACCTGAACATACAGTCAAAAGCAGGGCTGCATTATCCAAACACGTGGTCCATCATCAACATTCTCAAATATTTGGCAGAAAACACAGAGTTTATCAGTGAACATGCAGAAGAAATCAAAAATGCTATCAATGACCAATTAGAATCAGTTATTGAAGATGTCAACACTCTACAAACAGCACGCAACAAAGCGTCCAAACTGCAGGTGAAACTGGATACGACATTTTAATTTACAAGTACAGCATACACTACCTGGACAAAGTATCGGCCACTATCACCCTAACTTTATTAATTTAAATTGCTCAAAAGTGTACATAATAATTGGGACTAAAATTTTATATGTTATAGTCTAACTTGTTATGAAACGCGCATATATTTTTTAATATTTATTTCTTCTGTATATGTAAGCAATATAATAAACTGAATCAGTTAATTTTAATCTTTACTTTAAAAAATGTCTGACTTAACTGAATATGAAGCTGAACGCGGCCAAATTATTGGGCTTTTTAAAAGTGGCACTACAAAAACGAGCATATCTAAAACGCTTGACTTTCCTAGAACATAGAACAACAGTAAGACGAACAATTCAAAATTTTCTCGAAAGAAAAAGTCTCACAACCCAACCACGCAGTGGCCGCCCAAAACTTTTAAATTTTGAGCATAAGCAAGTATTAAAACGGGTTGTTAAGCGAAACAACAGAAAATCAGCTGAACAACTCAAAAACCTGTTTAAAGAAAGAACCGGACTTGATGTTTCTACTAAAACTATTAGGAGAAATTTACACGAAATTAATTTTTTTTCTCGCATTCCGACATCCAAGCCTTTACTTACTGATCGGCAAAGAGAAAATCGCCTAAACTAAAGTATAGTAATAGTAGCAGCATTACAATGCTGGTCAATTTAAATGTGCAACACACATTTTAATTATAATAATAATAATAATAATAATAATATTTGCATTTTACATGTGAAATATTTACCTGATGAAAATCCAATAATTGATTATCCCCTTCATTATTATTAACTATAGTAAGAGCTATTTTTTTGAGTGCCACATGTGTCACTTCATTTGTTTTTTGTTCTGACCATTCTGCTACATGTGGCATAATGATGTCATTTCTTGTACATTTGTCAGTAGTGAGTATTCTATCCACTGTATGTAGGCATTATATACATTTTTGTATTATTCCATGATTCCATAATAAATGAATCCAATGACTTGTTATCTGTAGTCCAATCAAGAGGCATTGGTGCTTTACAACAATGACAGAATGCATCTGATTGCCCAACTTTAGATATACACGCCAGACATAGTCCATATTCATGATATTCTTTTATTAGACAATACTTTTGTTTGCTTGCATCATATGTAAATCCAATGGTATCCCAAACATTTGTGGTAAGCATATCTGGATGCATATCACATAACTAGTGGAAATAATATGTCAATAATTATTTAAAATGTTCAATAAATATGAGGCATAATAAATTAATAACTTACCTCAGCATAATATAAACCATTTGTCTCGTCTGTTACCTCAAGTGGAATCAATATAGCATATATAGTGGCAGGTGGTCCAAACAAGTGTACACCACCCTCCCCGTAATCACCAATGCGATCATACGGAATCCATTCCAAACAAGCATCGTTTGGTGAATTTGTTTGTAATTGAGACTTCTTAATAAGTTCGTCGAGTTGTTTATTGTTGCTAGTCCATCCATTAGATAATTGTTTATGTCCGCAGATGCACCACACAAGACTACGTCGGAGTATTCCACATGCGGTGCAGAACCCATATTGAGAATAAAAATAGTCAAACTCTCTATCAGCAACCATATAGTACTTATCATCATGTTTGGTGAATCCATTTATCGAGGCGTTGCGATCCTCAAGCCATGTGGAATATCGTTTAAAGTGGCTGAGATCATTTTTGTGTTCGGGTGTCGGAAGTGAGTATATTCTGGCAAACTCACTCACAAGTGTTGGCGTACATTCTTCGCTGCTCCCAAGTAACAGCAACATTATCGGGCGCTCAAACATTTCAGTTCTCCTATGCATCCACATAGCATAGTAGATATTGTCAATTTGACTTGACTCTATTTTGGTAATTGCCGAATAAGGAACCCATTCAAGTCCTCGTCGGAAATTATTATACTTATTAGTATCTGATATGGAGGATTGAATTAAGTTGTCGATTGTTGCATTATGAATATCGTTTACAACAGCCAACGACATGGTTTGAATAAAAAAAATTCTTGGGAGGTAAACTCAACGTTTATTATTATTGCATTATAATTTGTGGGACGATTTTAGTTACACATTCGATTAATATTAAGATGGATTTATAAATTCGATGATTTGGACTTTCTCTGACGGACAATAAGACGACTTCTACGAATCGATCGCTTTATTCTAGCTGTTAGTTTTAGGCGTCTCAGACAACAATTGAAAATTCTCCTGGACGCATTTAACTTGAATATTTCTTATTCGGAATCACCGAGTCAGATTGACAGCTTCCATTTTCGTTAGTTACGAGGAACCATTCGATGTACCATCCTGTACTATTCATTAGAAGCGATAAAATAAAATCAGCGCATTAAAATTTGTGAATGAGAGTTTGCCAGAATATACTCGCTACGAGTACAAAAATAAGCCAGCCAAGTTAAACGATATTTTGATTGGATCTACTTGAGCGTGTCGATATTGCGCTAAGAAACTATACCGTATGTCGAATTAAATTTATGGTACCTGGACATACTAAATTTAAATGTGATGGACGTTTTGGATTGATTAAGAAATTATATCGGAAGACAACAATGGATCATATTGTTGAATTGGTGAAAAAATCAAGTATAACTGGATTAAATAAAGCTCAGTGTTACGACAATGGAAAGGGCTTTCAATATTTATATCTATATCTTAATTCTGTGTTGGGAATTTTCTTTAAAAAATTAAGTGGCGTACAAAAATATCAAGCATTTTGTATTTGAAGCAGCTCGGCCTGGAGCAGCGCTCAGCTGGTTGCCAATGGTGCTTTTACTGAATTTAATTTATTAAAAACTAGAAAAGCAAGTGTTTCTGAAATTGTCAAAGAAAGTAAATTTTTAACGATTGTTATGTGTCATTTCCGATCATGTGAATTCGCTTTCATTATCTGACGCTAAATAGCACGTTTTCTACTAAAGACTTGTACTACTTAAGATCTGATCGTTCTGTTACACACCGCCAATCCCGGCCCTGAAATTAATGGGAATATTCACGTCTGCCAGAAACCCGTTGCCTATTCTTGCGGATCAACTTGACAGACAGATAATGAGCGTGATAGAAGTAAAACGATCTTCCACTGAGGAAATTGACGTTGAAGAGACTGAAATTGAGGTCACTTTTTTTATACAATCGGCTGTTTATCATAACATAAGCGTTTACGCAGTCTTTTTTTGCTCTTAATAGACCTTTGAGTTTAAACAACTGAGTAAAGACATTGCCAAAGTAAAGATCGCTAGTAAAGAATTTGATCCGAAAGAATTTCCATCTCGCGTATCACTACTCGCGTTATCGAATACATATGGTTATTTTGTTGCTGCTTCCACGGAAGGTTAGTTCAGAAATGATTCATGTAAATAAAGTCATGGTTGAACGAAGGCGTGCAATAACACACAGTTGCATAAATTCGTCAACGGATAATTAGGGTTTATCTTCTCGACGACGAAAAATTTGAGAAGCGCCTTCATCGATGCTACAGGACCGCAATCAGCGAAGAGATCAGAAAGGCCTCACATACAGCAGACTGTTCATGTTAAAATAAAAGATGGAAAGATACGCTGTCTACGATTGTCCTTTGATCAATTAACTATATGTGTTGCAGTATCGAACGCTGCGAATGCTGGTGGAGGACGTCTTTTACTTTACGATGCAGCGGCTTTATCTCGCGCTGTAATTTTTGTTTCCGATTGGTTTATGTTTATTTCTTGTATTTTATATCTAGTGACAATTAGTACATTCAACAATGCAGTGCAAGGACGTTGGCCCGTACCAAGAAATTTCCCTAGATTCAGACATCGTTGAGATTAGACCAAATACCGGTGACAAACCAAATATTATAGCCGTTCTGTTAATAACTGGGAGCGTGAAGATTATCGGCTTTGAATCTAATAGTTCAAAAGTTATCTCGGAGATTAAGGGAGACGTAAGTTCAAGTATGTTATCAATTTATTGTAATCAACTTTATGGTACGTAAAGTATATTGCTGTACATTACAACATTCTTCTTGCGTCAAGTTTGCTGGTCTCCGAAGGGAAAGCAGATTGCGTGTGGAACGTATTCTGGGAAGATAATACAATACACGCAAGACGCAATAGCCAAAGTCATATACCCACCACCGCCTAAACTACCGGAAAACCAATCAATGAAAGGTATTGACACGGAGTGTATAGCCAAATATGCTGATTGTTTGTTTGCTGTAGCTGATTCTGTTTATGCTATTTTAGTGTTGAATTTATTCTGGTTGGAAACTTTCCTTTTTGTGGTAGCATATTATCCTGTGGTACAAGATGAAAATGCGGAAGCGATATCATACGTCATACAGCGAGAATCAGACAGAGCTAAATACCACAAGATACCGGCACTATGTCTTCCAGTCTTTGCAACAGAACGTGGACCTAACTTCTACATAGAAGTATTTAGGGGATGGTAAGATTACAATTATTGTGAATCGTTTTAGTAACACTCGGCTTACAGTTTATCCAACATTGTATAGGGATAGTAAAAGTCCATTCATCTTAGTATGCGCAAACACACAATCTTCCGAAATCGAACTGGCTGCATTCAATAACAATCGTTGGACAAAATGGTTTATCGAAATTGAAACATCCCGAGCATCACTACCAATATCAGATCTCCCAAACAATGACGAAGATACTCATATCGTCGGAATGACTCTTGATTTCACTGATACTGATGAATGGATGATAAAACTAGACGAAGATTCGACTTCATCCGTACCTCCTGCCCCAATACTATATATTCTCAATGACGAAGACGATGTAATAGCTTATAGGTGTTTTAATAGGGAAGCATTTGTTGAAAACGTATCGTATTCACAAATGGCGAAAGTGCAGCAGCTGCCAGAAGTCGGACCATCAAACAAGAAAGTCGAGCAAGGGGAGTACAGTTCCGTTGTACAACATGACTATAAGATTGACAAAACAAACCAGCCAACGCTTCCACCAGAAACTCCCAAGGCACAAGTTATTCCACCCCCCCAGATTCGACATGTTGAACAGAAGAAGAGTTCGCCATATTATGAACCCGCCATGGGACTGGCCCACTCGATAGACGTAGTGAGTATAATTTATTAACTATACTGATTCGTGATAAATGGCTTATTTATTTATAACTGTAATCAAACTATTCCCGAGCAGATCCTTAAGAAACAAGAAATTACTCAGAGGCATTTTAAAGACAGGAAGAGGGCTGCTGCTGATCGTTTCTCTCGACCTGAATATGCTAGCGCAGAAGATTTAAATTGTTACGATTTGCGCAAGATTGAGAAATTACAGGATAAATTTAAACATCAATTAGAGATATTGGATGCAAACTCTAAACATTTGAAGCAAGAAGTGGCCAAAATACGCACGTCTGTTTACAAAGGTATGATGATTTTACAATCATCCATTTGTCTAGCAATATTTCTCAACAATTATTTTTACAAAGGCAGGACCACGTCAGAAATGATTGAACTTTTTCGAGAAGCTATGGAAAGACCCGCTACTGGAAGACTCGGTATAATCCAAGCACGCGTCAAAGGCCAGTTAGAAAAAAGTGTAAGAGTAAGTAGAGATAGCGTATTATATTGAATATTGCCTTTTTTGAAATCATTCATTTAACTGTTGTAACTTGTAGGTATTGGGCGAAAATATTCAATTGCTGGAAACTCAATTATCGGCTTTGAAAAAGCAAATTTCGGAGCGCAAGGGTAAAAAGATATTAACGTAAGGTTTAATTAAATAACAATACTTATTGTCCTTAGAATCGTTTAATCAACTAATGGCTTCCACATAGGCCTCAGCCACTGGAATTTGTCGACCGTTCAATTCGTAATATTAGCAAGACTATATCAGTAAACTCTTGTGCAATCGATCGTTTAATAGAGGAGATGGAACAGCTTGCAATCTCGTCTAATTCTGCCAAACCAACCTCTTCAAGCGTGACCCACCATAAATTGCGAGGCAAGAAACGGGAAATGTCGACACCCGATAACATTTATTTTCCTAATTCAGCGGCGGCATCAGTGGCAGCATTTGTAACGCGCGAATACAAATCTGATAAGTTACGTAATGTATTTGAAACACAAAGAATTCAGCCGGTGCTGACGAAAATTAACCGTGAAATTTTCGAGACACGAACCTCAAGTGGAGTACATATTTCACCAATCCGCACGCCTCCTAAAAGAACTCTAACGCAACAACAGAGAACGTCATCTGCTAGGCCTAGAACTCGATATGATCAGCGACGGAACGTGGGATTAAGCTGGAATAAAAAGATGGAGGAATTTATTAAGAAAGATGCGCAAATATTGAATGAAGAGGAAGCAGAAGACAGTGAAGAGTTCTATTACGAAGACGAAGAAGAGGAAGAGGAAGAACTGACAGAGGAAGAAGTGTCGGAAGGGGTGGAGGAAGATGTGGTAAAAGTGTTGGAGGAAGAAGTGTCGGAAGTGGTTAAGGAAAGGGTGGAAGCGGTGGAAAGGGTAGAGGAAGAAGTGGTAAAAGTGGTGGAGGAAAAAGTGGTGGGCCTGGTGGAGGAAGAAGTGGTGGAGGAAGTGGAGGAAGAAGTGGTGGAGGAAGTGGAGGAGGAAGTGGTGAAGGAAGTGGTGAAGGAAGTGGTGGAGGAAGCAGTGGGGGAAGCGGTGGGACTGGGGGAGGAAGAAGCGGTGGAGGAAGTGGTGAAGGAAGTGGTGGAGGAAGCAGTGGGGGAAGCGGTAGAGGAAGTGGTGAAGGAAGTGGTGAAGGAAGTGGTGGAGGAAGCAGTGGGGGAAGCGGTGGGACTGGTGGAGGAAGAAGCGGTGGAGGAAGTGGTGGAGGAAGCAGTGGAAGGAATAGGATTTGATGAAGAAGGGGGGAAATCAAATACTGAAATGAGAGTGAAAATAGGAGTGGGAAGCATTGAACTGGAAGAGAAAGTAGAATATGTAATAGATGAAAAAGGTAGAGAGACAGAAGCGAGGGAGGAGGATGGGGAGGAGAAAGACAAGGAAGAACGGCAACAGCAAGAACGTTCAGAGTCAGAAGAGGTGGAAGTGGAAGAAAGAATAAGGTTAGATGAAGAAAAAGGGAAATCAAATAGTGAAATAGGACTGGAAATAGGATTAAGTGGCATTGAACTGGAAGAAAAAGTGGATTATATAACAGATGAAAAAGGTAGAGAGACAGAAGAGAGGAAGGAGGAGGATGGAAAGGAGAAAGACAAGGAAGAACAGCAACAGCAAGAACTTCAAGATTTAGCGCAATCTACAATTAGTCAGCTTACATTTGGGCAATCCAGCTTTGGACAATCCAGCTTTGGGCAATCCAGCTTTGGGCAATCTACTTTCGGACAGTCTGCAATTAGTCAACCAACATTTGGACAATCTACAATGAGCCAGCCAACCTTTGGGCAATCCAGCTTTGGGCAATCTACTTTCGGACAGTCTGCAATTAGTCAACCAACATTTGGACAGTCTACAGTCAGTCAACCCACCTTTGGACAGTCTACAACTGCTCCACCTACCTTTGGACAGTCGACAATTACTCAACCAACTTTTGGGCAATCTACAACTACTCAACCAGCTTTTGGACAGTCTGCAGTTGGTCAACCAACCTTTGGACAGTCAGCGTTCAGTCAGCCTACCTTTGGACAATCAGCATTTAGTCAGCCTACCTTTGGACAATCAGCATTTGGTCAGCCTACCTTTGGACAGCCAGCATTTGGACAACATGGATTTGGTCAACCCGTATTTGGACAACATGGATTTGGCCAGAATCCTACCCTTGCTGCTCAATCTTTGAAAGCACCAGCAACTGGTGGATTTGCTAGATATACAAGGTATGACATGATATTGTCTTTTCATACTTGACCATGATGAGTTAACGTTTTTTCCCTCAACGTTTAGTAATAGTAAACTTGGAGGCTTCGGTGCGCCCTCGACACCAAGGTTTGTCAATGAAAAATACTATTATTAACTGTTGGATTTGTCATATGTTTATTCATTCTTTCTTCCAATACAGCGATAATACAGCGAACGCGCCCCAAGATTCTCGTTTTACACAATATCGGTGATAATTTTAGATGTAATATAATGGATGTATTCGTTATAATGTAATTATTGAGGACCTTATAATGGCAAAAGCATACCATTAAATGCTACTTATTATTGAATCATGTGAGATTATATTTGCCTCTTCTGATATAGCAATAGGTTTACCGCACATGGTGTTTTTGATTAAATGTTTGGCTCTAATATGTCAGAAAGGGTTTCTTTCGATCATTAGTACGATTGACATGCATAACAACATGCTCTGTTACATACTCGATTCACCCGTTACAATAGTGTTGCTTGCAATTTCAAATCTGTCCAATAGCACGAGAAACTACTAACGGAATCTCGGAGCATTAGTCCCGTATCACAAACAATTAGTCACATGCAAACACACTAGCGCGACTTGAATCACTCTCTTATTTATTTAAATAAAATCGCTTATTTACGTATTCTTCCGCAACAACCATGTCTGGACCATTTGGAATTCCGTTGGGAGTATTGACTGATTCATATAAAGCCAGCCACGCTTTTTTATACCCGCAGACTGTGAAGGTACTGTGCTATGTTTTTCTCGGAACACAAGATAGCGCATTATTAGTTTACCTTATTGGAATTCTCTTGTATTGGTCAACAAACCATGATAGACAGTTGCTTATGGAGAGTTTCGTGCCGGATATGAACGAGACCGAGACGACACACGGCTTGTATTTTACGGAATTAGATTCGTGTACGTATCAGCTACTCTGGCACAATACGACTTTATGTATATAAGAATTGGCGCGCGAAATATTCATATATAATCATTTTTAAATTCAGAATTGAAAACTACATTGCAAAAAAATGGACGATAGAAGATGTTGACTATGCAGAACAGTTTTACGCAACGCATAACGCTAACAACACTCCGTTTCCGTACCCAAGGGAACTTTTCCTAAAGGTTGACAACCGTTTCAAACTGAATTTTGCTTGTTTTATCTCATTCTTATCATTAACTTTATTTTCGGGTATCTAGTTTATAAACGAGAACGAAGGATACTTTCCGGTGAAAATAGAAGCTCTGCCCGAGGGTACTGTCTGCCATGCTCACACACCAGTATACCAGATTACTGCTGAAAAAGAATATGCTCCTTTGGTTACATTTCTTGAAACACTGTTGACGATGGTTTGGGTATGTGAACAACAAGAACAAAAGAAAGAAAAGAAAAGCTATAAAGACTTTGTTTAAAATATACCTGTTTGTTTCCGTTAGTATCCCACGACAGTCGCAACGCTTTCGCGCAGAGCAAAGGATCTGATTCAGCAGGCGTATGACGAGACAGTTGATGAGGATGGATATGCATCTCTAGAGAGGTAAACGTTTATTGTAAAAAATCATAGTATAATACATATAATCAATTAATACGATTCTCAATATAAATGTTTTCGTTACTTAAGAATTCGTACATTTATTTAAACAGTCGATTACATGATTTTGGTTTTCGTGGATGTACCTGTCTAGAGCAGTCGATTATTGGAGGTTCCGCTCATCTTGTAAGCTAAGTTTAGACTACATAATTGATACTTAATATTTTTTACAAACTAAATTTGTTCTATTTACTAAAAGTTAAATTTTACGGGTACCGACACAATGAGTGCAGCATACTATGTACAGTTCAATCTTAACAATGGCAAACCCGTTGCTTCATCAATTCCCGCAACAGAACATTCTATTATGACTGCGCACAAGACTGAACGGGTACATATAAATTGTCCGTCTCACATCGGTGTTCGTTTATATTGGCTGACAATGTCTTCTGGTATTAGGCGGCAATTATGCAGATGATAGAAAAGTTTGGCTCGGGAGTATTTGCCTGCGTTATGGACTCCTATGACTACGCAAATGCATTAGAGAAGGTTTTGCCATCTGTTGCATCAGCTAAAGTTGGAAAAGGTGGCTTCATGGTGTTAAGACCTGATAGCGGAGATCAAGCTGAGGTCGTTTTAATGGCATTGAGGTAGTATTGTAATAATATATTAAGCATTACACCATACTCACTCTGACGCTAAGCTAATATTAAAACTATGTATGGGTATTATGACTTCCAGAAAAGCTGATGAAGTGTTCGGTAGTTATGTCAATAAGAAAGGATATAAGGTCATTCGAGGATGCGGTGTGATTCAAGGCGACGGCGTTACGACAACTACCTTGAAAAGAATCATTAGCACTGTAAAAGACGCTGGATATTCTCTTCAGAATGTTTCGTACGGAATGGGAGGCGGTTTACTTCAGGTATGACATGAGGTTAATGTTACTATAAGTTCAATTTACTGAGTACTACCTTATATAATTGATTTCAGAAATTGAACAGAGACACAATGAGTTTTGCAACAAAACTCTCACACATTACGTACAAGGACGGCACAGCACGGTAAGTACTGCTATTGGATTCGTAATATACGCAGAAATATTAAAATTTATCACGTAACACAACAGCGATGTGATGAAAACTCCAAAAACTGATGGGAGTAAGTTCAGCTTGCCTGGCGAACTCATGGTCGCTAGGAATGCCGATTGGGTAAATATTTATTAACTCGTTAATACTTTTTTCAAGTTACTGAGCACTAAATGAATTGTATACGCAAATTGACTCGATTTTAATAGGTCCCCATTGTTTACCCGAAAGATACACCATCAATCCCAAGTGAAAGTAACCTCCTGAAACTTGTCTATAACTACGGCAAGTTGTGTCCGTGGGAAACATTTGATGATGTACGGAAACGCGTGGCAGATCAGTGGAGTAGGACGCCTAAACACTATGATAATATTAGTCCAGCCTTGAAAGAAAAGATTAGAAAAATGGTTGAAAGCAAAAAAAGCGCTGACGAGTTGCAGTTGGGAAATTAGACAGGAATGCTTGATAGCTTATAACAACTTATCGGATTCCTATTGATGGGCTTCAAGCAGCCATCGCATATTTATCATTATTACTAATTTATATAACACAGAATATTAACTGCTTTTCTGATTTATACGATGTGTCAAATGCATTAACCGGTACAGACAAAACGTGAATATTATGAACGAAATTGTTTACTGACATTCTGCTATCGCTATGTACTTCTGTCTATGGCAGGCAATGCAACGAATTTCAAACATTGATCAATGGTCTTGTCATGATGCTATCTGTGGAATCCTTCCGAGTTGATTATTTGAATCATGTGACAGAGACTATCTCCAAGTAGCCATGTGACTACACTGGTAACACTTTATTACATAATGGAGTAACTTGTAAAAAATAAACTGTTTCCTTTTCTGTCGTATATTACATATTTATGACATAACTAAAGATAACTCGTCGATATAAAGCGCTAGTCCCGTGTTCTAGAAAGTGTTAGCTGTAAGATTGTATTACAAATATATATGTCATGCACTGGATTGCACCAGCGATGAATAGCACATGAAGGATCACTGTTTATTCGTCTTTAATAATTTTACGGCAAATTCAAATTTCGATGATTTAATTTCATTTTCAACCCCCTCACAAAGCTTGGGAGCCGCCAAAATCCCAACAACGTTAGGAAATCTGGAAAGAACTCGTTCCAAAGCGTGAAGACCCTTTTCCCAACATTTACATTGTATAAAAAATTGGATATCATTATACACTGCAATGATATCCATACCCCCATCTCCTTTATCTTTTGGATCTGAGCTGTAATTATATAGAGATTAATGAGTAAATGCATCATCATAATCAAAACCAAATGAAGAACGTTCACAGCAGGCCGTCCACTGAACGCCAGGACTGGGTACCTGACTGGCGACTTTCGCAAGCTGTGGCCACGGTGCTTTCAATTCAAATAGTCAATGTATCCTATTCACCACAACCCGGCCTAACGCCGGACGGCTTTCGGTAACAGAGTTTCAATTTATTTACACCCTCTATGCTTTCGAAAACTCTGATTTACACCTAGTGGCAGCGTAACTTCAGATACATAACAACTCAACAAATACTCGATAAGAAAAAAAATTATATTCTCACCTTATCCTATGAGCCCAAATCCCTTTGCTCAAAAGGTTATTCACAATTTTTCGTTCGTATCGTGTACCTTTCTCAGTAGGGGTTAGACATCCTACAAAACAAAATACAAGAATCTTTATCAAAAGATGATATAACCAAATGATATAAATATTAGTAATATTAATATGAAATATAGTCAAAAATAATTACCTTCAAGAGAGAAAAACTCATTGTAAATTACAATTAGAATTACGTTGTATGAAACATAATCTTCCATTAACGTATGCAACTAATGCATGGTGTGGATGGAAAAATTGTGTGGAAAACTGTTCAACTCTCTGTCGTACGTATTACGCGCCAAAAAACAAAGGCGTGAAGATGGACTGAAAGAAACCTAGACGAAAAACCAGGAAATTACACAAGAAATAATAATAATTGGATGTTCGCTTGTTACCACGATTTTTGGTTGTTGATCCATCTCATCTCAATATCTCTCCACTATATTAGCGTTAACACCCCAAGTTATGAAGTTGCTGTATTCCGTGGTGAATGGTTCGTCCGACCACCCAAGGGATTAAGTTCCGTAGGTCAGAAGTTTGCGTACGATGCTAGGTATAAATCGGAGATTGAAAGCGCTTCGTGACCGCAGCTTGCGAAAGTCGCCAGTCGGGTATCCAGTCCTGGCGTACGGTGTTAAAATCATATTAGGATTGCGTAAAGTGCAGAGTCAATTGTGGGCTTATTATGTGTCAAAGAAGAAACAATCAACAATGGATAG